AATCTAATTTTAGTCATTAGATAATTACCAAATAATTTTAAATAATCCATATTTGTCATATAAACAACAAATATTCAAAAGATTTGAAATTATCTATTGTTTTGGCAAGGATAATCATTTAATTAAGATAAAATTCGGATTTCAACTTCAAAAAACGATTTAGGCATTAAATCCACGTCAAAACAACAACTAAATCCCAAAATACCCTCTGCCTGATGCACGAACTCGACGAGTAGGGGCCAACTCGCCGAGTCCAGATATTGACTCGCCGAGTTGAGTCGAGCAGAGGCAATAAACTCGATTTTCAGCAAGCAAAACAGTTAAGCATCACATACAATTGAAACCAATCAAGGCTTTGATACCACTGATGATTTTTATGCATAAGAAACAATCTTATGTGCTCATACAAACCCTGATGCTTGGATCTAGGTTTCTCTATTGTACATGCTTTGAATCCAAGACTTACAAACCTAGATCTATCATATATATAATTCGAAATTGTCATAAAGAAAACAGATCCAAGTGTTTTACCTCTTTCAAGTAGCTTAAAATCCTTGTAATCTTCTTGATCTTGAGTTTAGAGTCAAATTGTAACTCCTCTAATGGTTCACAAACCCCACAAGCAAGAAGGAAATATGAGAGAGGGTGAGAGATGCTAGAAATCGGCCCTAAGGTTCTCTTGGAATGAAGTGTAGCCGATTTCCATAGCCTAGGGGTCTTATTTATACTTGCAGGCTACTAGGGTTTCAGTCTAAACCCTAATAGACAGCTTAACCACCAAGCAGCCCAAGGAACCTTCTGGAATAAGGCCTTGGATGAAAATATGATGGATCCCCATCATAATTTCATTCCCCCTTAAGTCCATAAGGCTTCCTTAGCCCAAAACTTAACTATCATATATTTGATAGTTTATACCCCTTTATTTAATTAATCTCTTTTAGTCACCAAATTAATTCCTAACTAATTTATGACCAATACTAATTAAATAAGTATGATTTCTCCTTTAATATATTATTCTTATAATATATTAATAAACCATAACATTCTCTCTTTCTCCTTATATTACCTTGTTAAGTTGCTTTGGTGAAGGCAACCCAAAAGGATCATGCACAACCGGGTCAAGTACATACCAAATATAGTTACGGGCTTAGACACTATTACAACATTTCGCTCAACAGACTTCGATGACGAATTCTAGTTCAAGTGGGGATATTTGTAACGCTTGGACCAGGTATTATTTATTTCTTAATATTTTAAGGTTTTTGGTTATAACTCGACGAGTTAGGGAGCTCCAACTCGTCGTGTAGAGATTCATTTGGACACGGGTTAAGGACTCAACTTGTCAAGTTGGGGAGCCCCAACTCGACGAGTAGACGCTGGAAAGAAAAACCCTAATTTCCACGGTTTGTACCCTATTTAAGGGCCTTAAACCCCGTTGTTAGCCTCCCTCATCGCCCTTTTGTCCAGAGAAACCCTAGTTCGTGCTTTTCCTACCATTTTGTATGTGTGTGTGTGTGTGAGCTTAAAGAGTGCATTTTGGTGTTTTTTTGAAGAAGGCTTGAAGTAGAAGGTGCATAGGTGAAAGGAGAGGCTGTAGATCCAGTGTCCTTGCTGTTGTGGCAACCATTTCGAGGTAAAAAGTTGATACCTTGGTCACTTATTTACTAGATCTTTTCATGTGGGAATTTATGGTTATTGTTAACTCATTTTGGGAACATTTTTGGATCTGAGCATGTCATAAAGCTATGACTCAAGATCTGGACATCTCACGGCCTCTTTTGACGTAAAGTTGCCATCTTTATCAAGTCATGGCCTTCCCTCATGCCCTAAACCCCTTAAAAATCTATGATTGAGTGTTTTAACCCCTTAATGTCATGCACGGACGTAAAGTTAGCAACTTTACATGGTATTTTCATTATAGGGGATCAGATCTATAGTTTGGACTTTCAGACTCGCTGGCAAAGTGACTGAATGTGTTAAGACAAAGAAAACTCGACGAGTTTCCCTGCCAACTCGGCGAGTTAACCAGGGTTTTCCTCGATCCTCTGGACATAATGCAAACTCGACAAGTTTTCATGTCAACTCGGCGAGTTGGCTAGGGTTTCCTTGGTTTTTCTGAGAACTGAAGGAACTCGACGAGTCAGCAAGTGCACTCGACGAGTCAGCAAGTGCACTCGACGAGTTGGGTCAACATGAACTGTTGACTTTGACTTTGATCATGGTTGACTAAGTTTGACCTTAAGGGTATCTTTGGTATTTCGGGATTTTGATAAAGTCAGTCGCATGGTGGTTATAGATAGTTGAGTTGGAGCAGTGAGTTGGGACTTGATCTTACCAGTTTGGCATTCCTTGAGAGGTGAGTCTCCTTACCATACCAATGGGTCGAAGGCACCAAGACCGACCCATTTGTGTCATATGTGGTACACTAGTTGATGTAGCGATATGGGTATACTAGTTGGTTATATGTTATGTGGTATGTTAGTTGTTTATGTGATATTTGCATGAACGACCATGGGGGGAGCCCATGACACTTGAATGTCAGCCCATGGCTTTCCAGGTAAAGACCATGGGGGAGCCCATGACACTTGGATGTCAGACCATGTGGGGGAGCCCATGGCTTTCTAGGTAAAGACCATGGGGGGAGCCCATGGCACATAGGTGTAAGACTTTGGGGGGAGCCCACGGTATCCTTGAGTAAGACCCTAGGAGGAGCTCATGTCATCGTTATATGTTTATATGCATGACTTATGTGATTGACATGGATTATATGATTATGTAGATTATGTAGGGTATGCTCTGGGAAACTCACTAAGCATTAACTTACATTTTGTTGTTTGTTTCAGGTACTTTAGGATCTAAGGGCAAGAGCCCAGATGACGCGACATGCATTCTCGGACGTTTTGTTTTGGGACACTCTGATTTTATGAATAATTTATCTGATGTTATGGATTTTGAAAACAATTGTGATTTGAATTTTGTAATTTATGGAAAATAATTTGTTATTTAAAAATGAAAATTTTTATTGAAAATTTGGGCTGTTACAAACTCATACAAATCCATGCAACTATTATATCACTAACATGTTGTGGCAGTGAGCATATTTCCAACATAACCAACTTTAGGTCTTGATTTTTCGTAAAAAAACAATGAATAAGCGGTTGCTAAAAGCGTTTACATAACTCAAAAGTAAACATATCCAACCATGACGCTTTGTCACCCCAATAAATCCACACCATTTTTTTTTATCTCCTTACAAGTAAAATAAATTCAACAAATGTAAGTTGTGATGTGGTTAAGGATAATGAAAGATGAGTAGGCCGAAACAAATTCAAATGCATAAACTTTTCCTCAAAACACGATTGAAACTCGAATTTCATACGACTAGGATCGGTCACCCACTCGCCTTCGACTATGATTCTCTGTATGGAAACTTGTCTTCTTTTCCGATCAATGATTCCATGAAAGTCGTTATAGTTTCATTATCTTTAATTCCATAAGCAACCTAGGCTCTTTGAGATAAGTCCATGGAATCAATCAAACAATTTTGACAAATTCTTTCAACGTGCTAGTTCAAAAATGCAAACCACCATTTGATGCTAAATTTTTATCCATTCAGTCTTCAAGAAGTAGGTTACGCTGAGATTTCTTAAAATATAGATCTGGCGATTCAACCTCAACCACATATTTATCATTTTCCACTTTAACGCTTCGACGTACCGGCATGACGGGAAAGTTATAATCATATATGATTAATCAGCGCCAACCGTTCCTCCCCTCCCCTATCTTCCGTACTACCACAACTGTCACCGCCACCATCACTACCACCACCTCTACCACCAATCGACGTCGCCACTGCCACCTCCATCACATGTGCGATCGTCACCTCTACCACCACCGCCTCCTTTGCCGCCAACCACCCATAATAATATATGATTACTCAATTTGTGTATAAACATATATGTATAATCATATATGATTATACATCAATTTCATACAATCATTTATGATTAATCATATCCCGTTGCTGCCTGTACGTTGAATCGTTAGAGCGACAAATGAAAAATATATGGTTGGTGTTGAACTCAAGATATTCATTTTTTTTTTAAATTTCAAGTGAACCGTTATCGGTCTTCAAACCCATTAATCTTTTTTTTGAAGATCATATTTTCTCAATTAGTTGGCATTTTTAAACTCTCCTACCACACATTTAAATTGCTTTTAAGGCATTAGAAATTCTTTTTAAAATTCATCATATTGTTTTCCTAAAGTACCCATTTTGAGACTAAGAAACCGTGACTCCTTTGTAAATCCATCAATAATGTACCACAAATGAACTAGGCGTAAGGAAACATGACTATAGTCCGAACTAACCTCTATCACAAGAATAGGACGATGATCCAAACACTTTAATTTAATCCAAAACACCACCATAACGTTTGGGAATCTACCAAGTATTCCATATGGAATAAAAAAATCCATCAACCTTGGACAATTTAGACCTAACATTGTTACTCAAAGTCAAAATATCCATCGGGACATCCACAAACTCGACACCCAAGATATAAATTTATTGTACACACTAGCTCGACATTCAAAGACAAATTGATTAAACACATTGACCGACATATTTGACTTTGTTAAAATACCTAAAACCACAACTTTTCATATATGAGATAGGCAACAATTATTTGAATCACCATGTTCTCTTCTCATCCAAAAGTTGAGAAGCATACACCGTGACAATCAAAAGCGATAAATCTATCTATTATCAATATATTATCACCGCTTAAAATATCATGTCACACCACTTCCATTTTTCATATGTATATTTATTTACTTTACATATTAAGTATCCGATCCAAACAAAGGACTTATATTTTATAGGTCTACAAGATATTTCTTGAACTTTTCATATAAGTTTTAATTAAACAAAAAAGCAAAATTACAAAAATTATTAAGCAGAAATAGGGGATTTTTTAGTGTTTAATTGTACAAGAGATATAAAATTTGTCTTTATAACGAATAATTAAATAAAAAATAAAAAAGATCCGATTTAGGAATATAAATACAGCTGTCAAAAAATTGGTAAGAGTAGATTTATCTGTAGTTGCCTCTAGCAAAGGGAAATCTAGAACAAAAATTGTCAGATACGAATACGTAGGAGGAGTTGTGGGATGAAATATGAATGAATCAATGGCTTCCGTGTAATCGTAAGCGAAACCCAACTCATACGCACACTCTCTCTTCCTTCCTTTAAATCCTTCTTTCATCTATGGGCCATCCACCGAATCCCCTACCCTTTTGAATTTTTTTCTCTCTATCTCTCCATCTCCAATTTCACCTCCAACCGCCTCTCTTTTCATCGGAATATACCTTTCGAGTTTCATCCACCGTCGAAAAAAGTAGGTATGTTTTATTTTTTATATATATTTTCCGTTTCAAGTTTGTCATCGATCGATGAGAGGATGACTGGTTTTGATTCTAAGTTTTTTGATGATTTTTGTAACCGATTGTTATCGTGTAATACTCGGATTCTTCTGGTTTTGATTTGTTTGTGAATTTTACGGTTTTTTATACCGTGATTTTATACGATCGGTTGTGTAATTTGATCATTATCGATGTTAACGATGTGAAGCGGATGATTGAGAGTTCTGAGAGAAGACGATGTTATTTAGGAATTGTTTTTACGGAGGTTATTGATAATCTGAAAGAGAATACATAGGTCGTTTAGCTTGTAGGTAAGTATAATAAGCTTATAACCATGCTTGGAAGATGAGATGTTGGTTTGTAGCTTAATTTATTCAGAGATTGATGTGAATTGTGAGGTAGATGTTCGTTGAGGTTTCCGAAGGTTTAGATTTGTCTTCTTAGTGTAAAGTTGAAGAAAATTCATTATCTGTGTTCCTCCATAGATGTCGATGAATTCGATTGTTGTTATATATGTACTAATTCCTATCTCTCTGTGTTATATGTTCGTAGTGTTCATGATTCATTTCATCTCAGCTTCTTACACTGAAAAATTATTGCTCACAGTTGAGAATTAGTCATAAGATATGGGGCATCGGCATCTTTTCAGCCCATCATACATGCTTGAAACTGAGAATGATCAAAGCTGGAACTTAACAGAGCATCCATACATGCATACTGGTAAACCTTTGGCTCCTTGAGGCTTGATCTCAATTTTTCTTGCTTAATGTATACAATAAATATTCATTTTCCACTTCTTATTTCTGATTTGCAGCAAGAAATGTGACTAGTGAAAGCACTTCTCTCATATATCCAGATAACATGTCAATTGATGGAGCACAATACACTCACTGTAATCACACTCCTATCTCAACACCATATTCTTCATTACCCAACAATCTACAACTCCCAAATTACCAACAAAATGTTATTGGCCCTTCTGATCTTTCTATGCATACATCATCATCTTATATACCTACTGAAGATTATAGAAATCAAGCATCTTCATCAAATTACAATGGGACAAACAATCCTTTCAATGAAGATTTATTCAATGCAAGAGGTCATTATAAACGCAAAAGCCCTGGTGTTCCAGATACAAACAATGGAAGTTCTTCTGATGTCACAATGCTCACTGAACCATGGCAAGAAACTCCAAGCATAAACTTTCTTCATGCCCCTTGGGATTATAATAATAACACAACAAACCCTGATCATCGAATCAATGGCAATAATAGTCTTTCGATTGGTGAAAGCTCTAGAAATGTGAGGAGTAGGGGGATGTTTGACTTGGAAGCAAACTCCTCAAGAACACATTTGACCAGTAATTTGTCACGTGACTATTTTACAACCAGTAGGCCCATGGATGTTTCAGCTCCGATGGATCTAAACGGGTTGACCCGGGATTGGAATCCAACTGTTCATGGTAATGTTTTATATGCACATATAGTTTTATTGCTAATATAATAAATATAACAAAAGTTATTTTACAAAATTGCAGAAAGCAGTTCTCTCAATTGTGAATTGAACCCTTTTCTTGAAGGAAACAGTAACCCTAGTTCTTCATTAGACATTTCACAACAACAACAACAACAACAACAAAACAACAACAACAGTCTTGTTACAAGAAACAATCATGTTCTTGAAAATTTTCAGAGCACATCATCTGTTAGAGGAATTCGAAGCAACTATAGTCAAAGGCCTGGGTCAACTTTCAGGGTGTCTTCTACTTCTAGCAACTTGCGATTAGGGCATAATACAGATGAAGGGTTACAATTAGCCACAAGTAATTATTCTTCAAGAAATTTAAGACCTTCTTCTTCTTCTTTCTCTTCTTCTACTTCTTCTTCTTCTTCCACCATTGGGTGGCATAGTAGTAATAACGACAGGAGTGGAAGGGCAAGATTGTCAAATGAAAGATATCGCTCTTTTTCTGGGGTCAATTTCCATGATCGACCACAACCAGAGGTATTATTCATTATGCCATTATATGCAAAGTTGACAACTTTACCATTTTGCCCTTCATTGTTTAATATGATTAATTTACAGGGTCTTGTGATTGTGGATCGATCGGGTTTTTATGGATCAAGAAATCCATTTGATCAACATCGGGACATGAGACTTGACATAGATGACATGAGCTATGAGGTTAGTAACTTTTTTTTATATAAAATTTACAGTTTTGGCTCAAGTTTTTATTTTTTTTTACAAATTTGGTCCAAACAGGAGCTTCTTGCACTTGGGGAAAGAATCGGAAGTGTAGCCACTGGTCTCCCTGATCATCTTATCTCAAAATGCATTCAAGAATCAATCTACTGTTCTTCAGATCAAATACAAGATGAAGCCACCTGTGTCATTTGCCTTGTAAGATTGCAATTAAACACTAAAAACTTTTTTTTTTTTAATTTTTAAATAATGAAATAATCTTTTTTTTTTTTTTGGTTTAAAAATTTCAGGAAGAGTATGCGAATATGGATGATATTGGGATGTTAAAAGCTTGTGGGCATGATTTTCATGTTGGGTGTATCAAGAAATGGTTGTCCATGAAGAACGTGTGTCCCATTTGCAAAGGGGAACCTGTGAAACAGAAATGAAAATAAAATTATTATTGTAAATAGATTTGTAAAATGGTGGGATTCTGATTTTTAAATCTTAATAATGTGGTCAACATTCTGCATTTATGACAATCATGATGCTGTTTGTGTCCTTGGTTATTTGTATGTGTATATATTTATATATTTTAAATCGTATTACAAGTTATATCGAATTAAGAATGGTTTTTTAATTGTTATGTGTGACAGGATACGAGAGAAGATGTAAGTCAAAGGGATGTGGGAGTACTAGAAAGTCGTAAGGAAAAGGTTGAAATTTAGGTATGATGCTTGATAAAATTTAGGGTTGGTGTAGTTTGACAAAATATGAAAGAATAAAGTTAATGCAACCTTTTAGCACAATGTGAAAGGTATATTGTGAAGTTAGTTGGATAGAAAGTAAAGCTAAAGATAAATTGACATTAAGAAATTAATCTTTGGGAGGTTTAGATTAAGAGATATTTTTGGAAAATAAAGGTTTGTGTAGATGATATTTATTCGAGTTTTAGTATATGTCTTGAATAAGTACACTAGTTCCCGAGTTTTAGTAAAGAAAAGAAAGGAAGTAAAGAGAGAAAAGAAGAGAAAGGAAAGAAAAATACGTTTTTATTTTGTGTTTCCTAGTTGTGGAAAATTAAACGTTTTGTTCTTTTTTTACAAATCCTTCCAAATCGGAGGAAAGTTAGGAGAAAAAATGATTCTTCAACATCCTTCCGTTTCATTTAATGAAATTCAGGAACACCATTTTCTTTTACTTTCTTTTCACTTCCAGTCATTTCCTTTCCATGGATAATTTGAACTCGGAAGTTGTGTAAAGCATGTAGAAGGATCAAATATGTAATTAAACCATTCTTGAGGATCATAGGTTAAAATAAGTGTTGATCTTTGATACAATGTGTTTTCTTTATCAATATTTTCTCGTTTATAAATATAAAATGATTATAAGAGAATTGATACACAAAATGGAACTAAGATGAGATCGACTACATAACATCTGTATACACTAACACCCCCGATAAATAGTGTTATTGAGAGTAATAGCATGGAAGTTCAAACTGTTCCTAAACTCGTGAGACAAAGATGATGGAAGTCCCTAGATGAAGATGAAGATGAAGATATTGGCGTAATGATAATTGGACAAAACATGAATAACTCATCCCGACCCATAACAACTTAAGGGTAAAATAGATGTTTACTGTGATATGTGATATGTGATATGTTTGGTACATTCATGCTAAACATGATTAGTAGCCATGTATCAACACTTATATTATCGCAACACACAATTATGGTTTTGGTAGCTGAGGCATATCACTCGTAGAGAAGAATGTAAAACCAACAAGGTTCTTCAACAATGTTGGCTACATCTCTATACTCAACCTCATCATTGGATGATTCCGTCTTGGAATCATGCATCAACAAACAGAAGAGGATAGCGACATTTCATTTCGCTTTCTGTTTCACAGTTGAGATTCGACCTTGTTGTGTGTTTCCATCGCACTAGCACCAAGTCAATCATCTTGTGTCGTAATTTCTTCCTCTTATGGTCAACAAAACGATTGCTTCAAGCTCTTCAACCGGTCTTCTATCTTCTATCTTTGTAAATTGGTCTACTACAACCCAAATCATGTTGTGACCTCTCTTTGTCTTTGGCAACTTGGCTATAAAGTCCATGGTAACATCATCCCACTTCCCTATGGGTGCTGGTAAGGGTTCAAAATCCCTATATGGCTTTTGATGTTGTGCCTTTACTCTTGCACAAGTTACACATTCTGCTATGTAAGTTGCCACATCGACCTTCATTGCCGGTCTTTAGTGCTGCCTGGGTGTATATAGAATACATGTTCTTATGAGATTCTTCCATAAGATCCCGTATACCACCCAACTTTGGCACCTAAATGCGATTATTAAACGTCTTCAACCCTTGATCGTTTTCTTCAAACACTAATGTCTTGCTTAGACGTTCTTCCTTTTTATCACCTTCTTCCAGAGCCCTTGTTTGCGCTTCTTTGTTCTTTTCCATAATTGTTGAGATCACTTCAATCTTCAACGATCTAGCTACTTTACCTTCCAGAATCACCTTTGTCTTAAGGCGTGGGCTTCGATATTCGATTTACCTGGGTGGTAAAGTATTTTGCAATCGCAGTCCTTGGGTAGCTCCATCCATTGCCTTTGTCTCATGTTAAATTGTTTATGAGCAAAGAGATATTGAAGGCTTTTATGATCTGGAAATAGTTCGCATTTGGTTCCATAAAGATAATGTCTCAAAATCTTTAGGGCAAAGACCATTGTTGCAAGCTCTAGATCATGAGTTGGATAATTCTGTTCGTGAGGCTTCATTTGTCTCAAGGCGTAAGCTACTACTTTGAGTCTATGGGTAAGGACACATTCCAATCCAATCTTAGAAGCGTCACTAAAAACCACAAAGTCATCGGTTCCTTCTGGTAGGATGAGGATTGGTGCTTTACACAAAATCTTCTTCAATTCACCCAAAGCTTTTTCTTGCTTCTCGCTCCAAGCATAGGAAACTCCCTTTTTGGTGAAGGCTGTCAATGGAGCCACGATAGAAGAGAAGTTTTGGATGAACCTTCGATATTATCATGCCAATCCTAGAAAAATATGAATTTCCATCAAACTCTTTGGCTTTTCCCATTTCATAACGGCTTCTATCTTTACTGGCTCAACCTTAATGCCTTCCTGGTTAACAATATGACCCAATAATTATATTTCCCATATCCAAAAGTCACACTTAGAGAACTTTGCATAAGGTTTCTCGTTCTTCAGGACTTCTAACACTTCTCGCAGATGTTTAATGTGATCTTGATTGTTCTTGAAGTAAATCAAGATATCATTAATAAACATAATTAATGATTTATCGATGAAAGGTTTACAAACTCGATGAATTAGATTCATGAATGTCGCTGGAGCATGTATTATTCGAAAGGATATAACAAGGAATACATAGTGCCTATACCTTATTCTAAAGGTTGTATTTTCAATGTCTTATTCCCTTATCTTCAACTAGTGATAGCCTGATCTGAGATCAATCTTGGAGAAGATGGTTGTTCCTTGTAATTGATCTAACAAGTTGTCTATCCTAGGTAAGGGGTATCCGTTCTTTATTGTAGCATTGTTTATCTCTCGATAATCAATGTACATTAACGAGATTTACAATTTTTATTTAGACTCCGTCGGCTAATTGATCCTCATAAATCCTAAGTCAACGACTATCTGGAGGAATCACCCTACCTGATAAACTGTTTAAGTATCTGGTTTACTACACAACTAGGGGAGTCCATGGCTAGTGCAAGTCATATAAAGGCAACCAATGTTCAAATTTATTAATAAATATTTTATCTACGTCTATGGATTATGAGTCCACACTAGCAACGAAATTCACTAAATCGCCTAGAATATTCAAGTGTTGTCATCTACTATGGTCGATGACCCTGACATAGCTACCGATTGTCTGATCTGGACCCACCATTTCTGGTCATCCAAGAAAAAGGAGGAATACTACACTCCACTTTGATCTCACACTCTACCCCATAATGAGACCTAATTTATATCCAACTTATTGCGAGCTAAAAATCTTATACAAGTCCTAATCCATACTTATACTAAAGGAAAACTATGTCAAATACAATTCCTAATAGACAACACTATTATAGTTAAATAAATAACACAAAATTCAGATAATACAATTAACAAATAATTCTTCCTAAGTAATAAATACTTTTATTAAGATTATGTACTTGATAGTAACTACACACTCACCTGAAAAAAGTAGGTGACTTGAAGTTAGGGCAACGCTTTGTCGTAACACTTCTCAATGATCTAAATGTATAAAGCACTACGTCTTAATCTAGTTTTATAATCCTGGTGACTATATAATGATAGCCTAGATTCATTAACAATCTCAATGTTTATATCAAGATCTATCAAGTAAGGAATAACAAGGTAGGATCATATCGGAGGTAGGGTCCGTTAGGTATACAACATATACTGTTTGGAAATCCTACTTTTAACACCTCACTAAATCCAGCCTAGACATCACTCCTGTAAGTAGATCAATCAGACTTGGAATCACTGACAAATCTTAATTATAGGGTCATAATAATGACTATGACTATAATTAAAAGTTACACTTAAAATAAATTAAATGTAGCTTAATTTACAAATTAAACTAGCGAGAACCGGGAATTATTCAGACAAACCTCTGACCTAGGTCTTTTATTCACCGACTATCTAACACCACAGGGTTTCGCTAAATTAACTGGGAACTAGAGAGTAAAAGGGCTAAAAGGCTCGGAGATAATCTAGAGAGAAAATGAGAAGATGTGTGAAAATTATGCTAAAAATCACGTCTTTATATAGTAGAAAAATGGGTGTACACCATGCATGCGGCCGGCCATGCTGATGTCTCGTCGAATCTCTGGTGCCACGTGTCGCTCAGTGTGTAGTTCTTTAGAGCGTGCCACACCCCTAGTCGGTGTGCATGACCGTGCATGAATTTTTCTATTTTCTAAAAAGTTCATAACTTCTTCATTTGAGCTTTGTTTTCTATGGGTTTTATATCCATACGTAGCTATCGACGAGATATGCGTATAACTTTCATTTAGACTCCGTTGGCTAATTTTGAACTTATTTAAACATATTTAGATTGTTAAAGCCTGTATAACATGCATAACTTTCTCATCCGACGTTTGTTTTCGACATAATTTATATCGTTGGACTCCTATTAACGAGATATTCAATTCTCGTTTAGATTGTTTTGTTTAACAATCAACCGTTCTGAAATTCGATATTAGTGTTGCACACTGTTACACCGAATCTTAGAAAAATCATAATTTTCTCATACGAAGTCATATTTGGACGATCTCTATATGCACACTCTAGGTTTAACGACCACTACATCTTTCGTTTAGACCACTTAGGCTAAAAAGTATTTTGCCAAAATTTTATTTTTTACTATACATAGAGTCATGTCGGTTTTAACACAAACTTCAATAAACCATAACTACTTCGTTCTAAGTCGGATTCTAACATTTCTTATATCATTGGAATCCTTATTACGTATACTACAACTAGATTAAGATTATTTATCCTATAACCTTTTATTTTTGACACATACTTTAATCTTATATTTTTTTAATTATTATTAAGTACTTATATAAATTGCATAGGATATCATATAAAACACATAAATATATGAATAATCATTTTTTATTCGTTCATAAAAAGATTGTAATAGTTGACCAAAGTGATTACAGTCTATGAGTAATCTAGCAGGAAACGCAGGCGTTACACAAAACCCCTAACTTCCAATACAACTTCAAACATTAATAACATCTTTGTTTTAACTTCATTTTCAGCGTTTTTTATATGCACATAAAGGTATTGAAGAGACCCACAATTCTATCTAGTTATTTTTAGCTTAACACTTGTCGAACTAAAACCATAATCCATGCAAGTAG